AATATCATTCATTCTCAACGGATGAGATCATGCACGTTTAAGCATGACGCCACCTTCAGTTACGCTCATGGGGAGGTGTCCATTGTTCAGAAGGCTTATTAATCATGTTCTGTACAGGTACGACATATATTCTCATAAAAACTTTGAATATGCTACTGCTCCAGGTGAATCTTCATATGTATGCATGTATACATTTCATGCTTCTCATATAAACACCAACCTTGAAGACTTGTTTTAACATATGTGATTTATTATGAGATTGTGTCCTGTTCTCTCAGGAGGAAAAACTCACATTTTTAAAGTTTCCAACATCAATGTAAACATACTACATCTAGATTAAAAAGAGTACACCTTCCAAATTTAGAATGTATAAAAATAAGAAATTATCTTCACAAGAACTAACAATACAACACAACAAGCAGTAAAGGATTTTAGAAAACTTGGTTTCATTATCTATCTTTTATTAGTCATCATAAACTCTAACCAGAGATGTTTGCAAATACCTGCAGAAATAAAAGAGCTCCTTCACCAGCATTACGGGGTGGTGGGGCAGAGTAGAGGTTATGGTGTTAGCTGGGTTCGACCTGGGTTCGATTCCCCACAAGGGTACAAGGGTACATTGCATGAAGCCCATTTCTGGTGTTCCCTGCCTTGATATTGCTGGAATATTGCTAAAAGCAGCATAAAACCCAACTCACTCACTCCACCATTCCTGAAATCTCAAACCCTAAAATCATAACATTTAGCATGTAGCTTAATTCTTGAGCCAAATGTCCTACAATTACCCAAGCCTCACCGCTGTACAAGTGTAAGTGCAACAATCTTGTTTCACAGAAAATAAAAGATGACCTTGACCATTAATAGACATGCCACCAACATTTCATTAGGTAGAATTTGTAAGACATATGCAAACATAAAGTCCCATGTCTGAAGCAGTAACCATGCCTCAGAATCTGACAATGACATAACAAAGTTTACAAAACCCTGACTGCTGACCTTGACCTTTGACCAAAACATTATCAAAATGTATCAATGCATCAATGTTTTTTGAGAAAGTGTAATCACAATCATTTCAGTGGGACTTTTCCTTCTTTACCTTTCCACAAGGCTGCTAATAAAATACTAACGTACACTCCTTAACAAGTAGGTGTGTAATGAGTCAAATATCTAAGAACATCCTGCACAATACACAACTAAAGTGGAGGGATGAAGACCAAACCATGCCATTAAACCAGCATAACCCCATAGAACATCCTAAAACACCAAGCTCAAGGGAGAAAGGCCTTAAAAATGTACCTTCAAACCAGCATAACCCCATAGAACATCCTAACACACCAAAGCTCAAGGGAGAAAGGCCTTCAAACTGTATCTTCAAACCAGCATAACCCAAAAGAACATCCTAACACACCAAAGCTCAAGGGAGAAAGGCCTTCAAACTGTACCTTCAAACCAGCATAACCCAAAAGAACATCCTAACACACCAAAGCTCAAGGGAGAAAGGCCTTCAAACTGTACCTTCAAACCAGCATAACCCCATAGAACATCCTAACACATCACTGGGAGGGAAGACTAACGCTTAGTCTCTGAAAATATATAATTTTGAAGGAAACAAATAGCTCCTTTTAAAGTAAAAAGGATCCCCAGTGATATGGGAGATTCTAGACTTGTTTCATTTAGGGCTTTTACATTACAGAAAGGACTGGGTGGAAGGAAAAAATTATGGTTCAGGGACTTTGAGAGAGACTGAAGTAGAGGGATGAAGAACTACAAAATGTAACATTAAACTACTGTAACTCCATAGCTCATCCTAACACACTACAGCTCAAGGAATGGAAGAAATTCAAACTGTACCATAAAAATAGCACAAACATAGTATAATTGGCAATGAAGACATTCTATAGGCTCCTTTCTATTACATATATATTATGAGAAAATTCAACAAAAAGAAATCCCAAAATATTTCAGTCTTTAAAACATTCATCCTCGTCCCCTTCTCAGCTCTAACAGCCTTACCAATTCCCTTTTCAGCTATCACAAGATTTGAAGGTTTCCTGATACTCGAGGGTTCCCGAATAGAAATATATATATATACCTAACCCTATACAACTTTACTTCAGGAACTATATGTCAGTCTAATCCCAACACCATAACTCATGAGGAAAGATGAAGAGCTTCAAATTGTACCATTAAACCAGCATAAGCCTTAGGGATGGATAACAACATTCTTGTGGTAAAACTAATGGTTCAAGACCTACACCACAAACTACTTTGAATGAAATGCTCAAGCATAAACCGCATAATGTGTTTCCAAAACATGCTGACATATGGAAAACTAGCCTGGTCACACACAACACATGCCAGGTCCTTTCAGGCCTCTATCACCAAGTACTGACACAGTTCAACAGCAATGCTCCACACAACCTGCACATATACTCCATAACACAGTTTTAGCTGTATGAAACAAGTAGGGGATATCTGGGGAGGCCACATTCTTGCCGCAACTACCAAACCCTCTGCTGATGTTAGGAGCTTGGGACTAGCTGTGGAATGCACCAGATGGATAATATTACATTGTAAGCTCTCCGCAACACTTATGTTGCACCTTTCATAGAAATAAACCAATACCGAATAGCTGGAACTGTTTACATGCTGGGTTTCAGTGTTAAATATATAGCAATGGAATGTTGGTTGTTGTATATTGATAGTGAAATATATAGTTGCATGGTTGTAGTTGCCTATGAATGGATGAGAACCTGTTTCTACACTGTTCAAACTTCAAAGTTATGATAGAAAGAAAAAATTTAATGATGATTCATCATAAAAATTTGAGGTTAGCTGTTTGTAATATATGCAAGTATGATGAAAAGCCACAGATAAATTATTTATCAATTTGAATAAATTGTGCATGTGTATTTCTGTTATAGATTTTAGAGACAAAATTGCAAAATATGGTTCAGTTTTATTCATTTAATGTAACTCTTTTAACCAGGAGACACATAGGTATGATATTAAATGTTTATGAAATATGTGATGAAAAATATAGTCGTATAAATATATCAGTTGTTATATTAATAAATTCAATGGACGTTAGGCATATGAAAAAAAAAGATATAACTCATTTACACCTTTAACTAATCTTTGACGAAACCTTTCATGTCTACTATGGATAACATCAAGTACAATATATTTCATTAGTGTCAAAGTTAATGTTGAAATCTGTCATCAAATATCAGAAACCAAAAGGTCACACAAGCCCAATGAACTATCCATGTCTGCAGCGAATAAAATGAAAAACACAGTAGTGTTAGCTTAGTTGTAATTCGAGATTGTGATGAAAGAGGGCTTCTGTTTTTTTGCCAGATGCCATTCACACAATGCCATTCTCCTGTGCGAAATTCTGGACTAGCACAATACTGGATGACACCCACGGTCTAGCTCTTCTAAGCTTCAAGCTCACAGTGCCAAGCCTACGTTTACCTTTGGTCGTGTGACTGCCCGCTTTCTCCAACTGCGGTCCCTCATCCCCTCGCATCACGTCATTAAGCTGATTCGCACGTCACTCAACTAAGGTCTAAGCCCCGTGTTTGTTCGAAGGCAATCTGTTGTTGTAAATCTTGAGATCTGCGACCTGCCATGCCCTGATGGTTGTTTTCTCCTAATTATACCAATGTTGCTTCAGTTGTCCCGATCAGTCGTGAGGGATGGTTTACCTTGGCAACAGAACGCTAGGTGACAGATATCAATGTCTCATACCGTCGTTGAATGTATCTCGCTTGTCGTGCTTCGAATGCATCGACGCAAAGTATAGTTCTCTTTTACGACAAGAAGGACTTGACCGATTTCTTGCACCAAACACGAAAGTGGCACTCATCACGTGACTCAACACATGACATGCACGTGCTATTCGAGTAATAATCAAAAGCAATTACAACCGAGCTTGTACGCAAGTAATTACAAGCGATAGCACACTATCTGTGTAATAAGCCACACTAAGCAAAACGAAATCGGATAGCCGTGGTGTTGAAGGGTCACACTAGCTTTATTGTCCAGCATTGGCCTGCTGCGTCCGCTAGGGCGGAGGCGCGTATGATAATAGCTAGTCATCCACAGAGGTTACCGTACCACGCTCGGCCTTGTATTGAGGATTGGAGGAGATGGCCCATCAAGGCTCATTAAAGTATGCATTTCCATCTCAAACATAGACTTGAATTCTAGAGTGAGCACAGGTTGCTATCGGCCTCGAAAGCAGACATGACCTACTCAAGCTGTGCGTAGCAGACGACAAAAAAATGAAATTCGTTTCTGAAGTAGTTATAACTGAAATATATGTTAGCAATTGTAAAAAAGTTTGAATAATAGTTATGCATATATCAAATCACTCCCCTTTAATCCCTCCTTCTCTCAGGAACGCCCTCTTTTCCTCCCTCCCCCAGGAAAATACAGCTGCTGGTGTTATCAGCTCTGCTTCCATCTGCGAGCGGTCACAGGAAGTGGTTAAAATAAAGGAAATTAGATAATTACATCCGTGGTTCAGATACCTCTCACCGTTTTCCCTCAGACGTCGTGTTCTGACCCATATCTAGCAGCCGAACTCCCCATTAACTTGACGCACTGTGTCAAAACATATTTATCCCATTATACTGCAATCCAAGAATTCTCCACTGACAACCACTCCTGCCATATCACCTAGCTTAGATCTGTCGTACAGAAATAACTTTTTATCATGAAATACGGGTCCGGCCTTGCAGACGTGTACAATCTGCATCGTATCCCATCGCTCCTCCATTCTTACCCCCAGGCCTCGCGCGGCTAGGATCTCTTGGATTTTGTCCAAAATTCTTCCCATTTCACCGTTTTGCTGGCAGTTTCTGGTCCCAACCACTGCCTCTATAGTAAACCTTCCTCGATGATCTCATATCACCAATAGTGCGATACGCGTCCTTGTAACGATGATTCTGCAATAAGAAACTGTCATCATTGTTTTCAAGAAGGTTACTCACGAGGTCCCGTGGTCTCATCCAAGCCAACAGGTTGTATCCGTCGATTCAGCCCTCTCCCAGCGGATCGCTCCTATCTCCTAGTCCAGAAACTCTGTCTGGAGCTGTCTCACAAACCCCGCTCTCTGCGTAGGTCTCCCTACATCCTGCCTTCACTGATTAATCGTATAGTCATTTGATCCATTGAATACTAGCTATCACTCTGCCCCTGGCCCAGTCGTACTATCTAACACAACTTGCTTGTGTGCCATTGTTTGCCTTCGGAATTTACTAGTGACAGGCTGATAAACACAAGGCCCGCCCATCTCAGCCTGTGGCCAAATCCTCGCATCCCATTGGCCGTATATTGTAAATATTGGCATTGCGAGCATATTTCCCATACCTACGGGGCATTAGAGCTAGAATACTAGTTTATAGTCGGACACGGGACTTCCCAGGACGCTAACAGTATACTGCCCTCCTATAAAACCAGAAATGATAGCTTTTGTCTTATCTGAAAGCAAAACGAGAGAGTTGTAAATTCATGCAGTCTTTTCCTGGTGAGATCGTGTTCAGACCTCGACCAGCTAGCGTTGAGGTTATAATACTACACTAGAGGATAAGCCGCGACCGCGTGAGTCGAGTTGCCAGCTTTACCCCCTCGGAGGGAAATAGGGTAGATAATACTCCTACCCACCCGTGGTTTTATTCGGGCGTGATCATCGTCTGAATGTGTTGACATTTAATGATTGCTGGATTCCAACCGACAAAGAAGGCAGTCTAGATTTACAGCTTGCTATGTGACAGCCTTCGTTTGTATCGGTTGTAGCAATGAAGAAACTGTATGTTAGATATGCAAGGTGGTAATTTGGACGATGACAGGATTGTTTTTTGTTTGCTTAAATCACAAAAAAAGTTATTTCATGTTGGTAAATTTGACATAATGTTGAGACACAGAGGATATATAGCTGGTCTTGTTAATTAGCATATTTATCTCACCAAGTGGATTGACAAAGCTGTTATGTATATGCACGTCGCAACTACGAGTGAGTAAATGAAGTTTCTCAGGGCACAAAATGATATTATAATGTTAATTGATAAGATTAACCTAATGTTTATCCTAAACTTAAGTTCAAAACAAAAAGTCACAACATACTGAATTCTCCAGTAATGATCCAAACGTAACCTTGATACGGCACCCGTTTGATCAGCGACGTCATGCAATTGTCCATGACGTAATAGTTACGTCATTGAGATTTGTGATATACAGTTGGTTTTTTTCACCATTGAAAATATAGAGGACGTGTGTATGTTCTTTTCAAGTACCATAATTACGTAAACTACGGTTATAAGGAACACGCTTATAACGAACTAACTTTTTAGTCCCGACTATATGCTGTAGTTATGCTGTATATATGCTTATAACGAATTACGGTTATAACGAACTAAAATTAGTAGTCCCTTTGAGTTCGTTATAACCGTAGTTTACTGTATATGTATGTTGATTTGACTTTTAATTTGAACTTACTTACATATTTGTCTCATCCAGGGGCCTGACAAAAGTAGATATATTCATAAGTGACTCAACTACGAATGAAAATGTCAACCAGTCCAGATCACCAGATTAGATATACGAATGAAAATGTCAACCAGTCCAGATCTTCAGATTAGATAAACATATAATTTGACAAGAAAAGACAAATGTTTTGTTTATTATGTATTCCTCACTGGTCTATTAGATGGACGAAAAGAAGTATTTCACTCGGAATCCCCCGAGAAGCCTAAAATAGTCCTTTCGATACGTATACGTTCTTGTACTAAAAGGGACCGCCGGCATCAGTCCGGACTAGTACAAGCACACACACACACACACACACACACCACCACCACCCAACACACACACCCTACACACACACGTGCATGCACGTCGCTATATAAGTGCAATAATCTTGGACCCGACGTTAAACCCCATTTCAAGTCAAGTCAAGTCTTGTACTAAAAACAATATTTTACGGAATGCATATCAACTTAGTTTTCGAAGGAGCGTTTGTTCCAGCCCCCCCTAGATTTTTCATAGAAAACAGTTTTATTTGTATCAAGTTGGGGACAAGTGATACAAGCTTGACCACACCCGATCTCGCTAGTCGCCTCAAGCCACAAGCACGGGTTGCATGATCCGGATCTTCATGAGGACGCCAACTTGTTGCTGCAGTATTGACGGGTGCTGCGTAAAACAAACTACAATGTATTATAACTATGCCCATATGACCATACGTGTCCATGTCTGTGTACTTCCTATTTTATGCAGTGGCAACTTCCATACAGATATACCTCCATGTACCTATTTGTTCATTTTTTAGAAGCAAATATGTCAAATCATCCACAAAATTTTATTACAAAACTATTAAGCCGACATAGACAAGAATCATTGGAACGGAACAACGTTGTGAGACCAGTGCCGTAACCAGCCAGGGGTTTTCAAAGAAAACAGTTTTATTTGAATCAAGTCGGGGACAAGTGATACTTGTACGTACAAATATTTGCCCCCCCCCCCCCCCCCCCCGTCAAAAAAGGCTAACTACGACCTTGAAAGGTGCAGTATTATGGTTTGGTGTAATATAAACTGTTGGGCAAAAGAAAGTATAAATTAGAAAATTTGAAATTAAAACGTTACTAGACTTACAGTCGCCTAGACATTGCAAACTTTAGGTTCAAAACACAACTATAATACCAGTATCAAATACATTCCATTTCGATTTTAGCCGCCATCGAACATGGATGGATGCTTTCTTTTACCCGGCACTTTAGCACAATATTTGTGTTCCCATTTAGTTAACAATTTCACCTTACTTCAAAGTATCTACCGAAGCAATAGTCTTTTCTTGTCAAATAACACGTTTATTTTCACAGCATGACTTCAACATGCTATTTAACAAGAAAACACAAATCATAATTTTTTACTGATCATCTCGATCTTACATTGAGAAACCATAGTGTCACTGGGGTAGACTGAAAGTATTAGCGACATAAAGTGTAATTAATTGTTTCTTAATTTCTTATTTCGTGAATTTACTTTGTTCATATACATATATCATTTTATCACAATACATAAAAAAATGTATTATCTAACCTCTGTGGATACCAAGCGTAATATATTTACAGACCGCCGTCATATAGCTGGAATATTGCCGAGTGCGGCGTTAAAAACAAACAAACAAACAAACAAACCAAGCATAATACCGTCACTGCTGAACAGCATACTGGAAATGTGAGAGTGGTCATCTAAAGAAATTCAGTATGCGTCCAATCAAAAACGCCAAAAGCCATTACCGTCAAAACACTATCCAGCGTATTGTATCTCCATTGTATTATTATCATAACAGATTGGAGATAATATACAGACTGGAGATAATATACAGATTGGAGATAATATACACATGGAGATAATATACACATGGAGATGCCACAAGTTGTTCTGGAAATCGGTTCCCAAATAATACTTTTACGACTCATCTCATTGTGGAAGCGTTTTACCCCCAGAAATGTTAAACCAATAATCTTCTACGACTAACCTTAAACCAGTCATAATTTATTCGCAGTCACCGGACGAATCCACAACAAGACTCACAGATTACGCAAACAACAGTGACTGAAAGGAATTGGTGTTTCGGGTTAATTTGGAAGTATAATTTCGTCAAAAATAATAATCGTGTTTCTTGAAAACCTATCTTATACACCCAATACCTCTCCCACTCACCTCCTTTTATTTCGGAAGGCGGTTCAGTGCTTGAGAACGCAAAGAGCAGGAAACCCACCACTAGCGCTCCTATAACAGGAATGAGCCTGTGAAAAGCCAGAGCATGCACCAGAACCAGATTCGGCTCTGGCATCGCCACTAAGTTAGGACTTGTGTACAGTTCCTGTCTTTGTAGACTTCAAAGGTAACATAAATTTAAAAGAAAGTAAATTCGGCCAAATGGTGGTATAGACAGTTATAGCTCACATTATTACGTCTTATGTTTAAAATAACCGTTAGAATGTCCTTGAGTCTACGTACATTCTATGGGTGTTGGCAAGGGCTTACATTGGTACTGCTCTTTGATAGCTTCTGTCGGACTGAATTCTGCTAGTAGGCATTATTGGCCCGTTGATATTAATTGCTCTTGTAAAACTGGTTCTGAGGAAACGTCTGGTCTTATCCTGAAGGTTGTTGAACTAACTGACACGGAAGCAAAAAATATTTGATTCAATTTAACCGTAAACATGTTATTAAATTAAAGATATGGATAAAGTTACATTCATCTCCGTATACCCGAAGTTTGTTGTTCGGGTTTGAACAATTACCGTGGGCGTTTTTGGTCAGAATCGGTCTTCAGTAACTAAAGACCCTGCTTAAGTCGAGATCGGGAAATCATGCTCTGTGACTTGCCTGATTCTGTGTCATCGTGCCCCATCAGCATGTACCGGTGATCATGCTATCAATCACTGGTTTACATGGTCCAGACCTTTTTACTGGCATCGTGATATAACTGAAATATTATGTGTGGCGTTAAAAAATCATTCACTCCTTTGAACACTAACATTTATCCACATTCCTTATGGAATAGAAGTTGTTTCGGTGTAACCGACTGTTCGCTTAATCCGACTTTGATTTATCCGAAGTTGTCTCATACAAAGTCCCAGTAAATTGGGGTTTTTTATACAAGAAGTAGTCGCTGCTGGCACTGAATTGTTGATATGGTAGACTGCAGGCTTGTAGACTCCTCGGTAAGAATCATCTTGTACATTCATTCGTTGACCGGGGTAATATCTGTCATCCGTTTCGAAGCAGGTCTTTGTGTAGCGGCCACACAAGAGATTTAGTATTAGTATTAGCTGTATTGCTGAAGGAGAAAAAGAACATACAGACGAAACAACTTTTTCTAAAACTGCCCTACTGACACAAGTACCCTCAGTTCATGTTACAGTAAACTACGGTTATAACGAACACGCTTATAACGAACTGACGGATATAACGAACTTACTTTTTGGTCCCGACTACTTGCTGTATTCATGCTGTATATGTACTTATAACGAACTACGGTGATAACGAACTAAAATTAGTAGTCCCTTTGAGTTCGTTATAACCGTAGTCTCCTGTATTAAAAGGCGCACTCTCGTCCAGACCAAGCCCTGCTTGCATGCCCACAATGTTCTCATACGAGTATTTGTCCACTCCTGCGAACTTACATTACCTATTTGACCTATTCGTATAC